AAAATCCATTTAGATTTCCAAAGACCATTCCAGAATTGGCATGTTTCGTAGTTGTGATCCTCAATGCAAGCTATCAAAAACTCTTTATTTTTGATGGATTTTCTCAGCACGTTACAATTTCCTGCCGGGTAGTGATCACTCACGTACAGTTTTAAAGCACACAGAACAACAGTTCTCAGGCATTCTGTCTCATTCCGAATGATACCATGACTCTGGATGTCTTTTAACTGATTTTGAAGCAAGTCAAATCTGAATGAAAGTTTGCTTTGATAGTCAAAAAATCGGTAATTGCCCATAACATTGTGGTGAGACAAGAGTACTGGATTTCCATCAATGTAGAGTGGTACAGAGTATTTTTGGCAGTGTTGGTGGCCTGCACACTCACCTTGATGGTGCATAAGTTTTTCATCACGGATGAGCAGACAGAGATCATCAAAGGCATTTACGAATTCCCCTGGAGGAGCCTGTATTAACAGTCTGCGAATTACTCTTTCTTTCTCCTTCCTACTTAGCACACTAAGTGCCATGTTTGATTGTAGCAGAAGCAAAGCTTCTGAAATGAAGAGTATTCAAAGGATGAGAAAACATTCCATGAGACACCTTTCCCATCAAGGTGTTAAACATTCAAGCTTAAGGTTATTATGCCAGAAAACAGGTAGTCTGGCAAGCTCTGAGTCTCCTGATGAAGTCATAAAGAAGCTTTCTCTATGAAGTGTAGAACTCTCGATGATATCACAATGGATGTTCAGACAAAAAGAAAAAAATGACAGTCACCTGACAGCGTGGAGCCCAGCCAACCAGCAATACCTATTTTGAAGATTTTAAGAACTTAGCCTCCTGAACAGCCTTCTTCAAAAGTGGTGTGTCTCTGTGTGTGCATTATATGTTGGCAGGGATCTAGAGAAACAGCCCAGAGTTTCTAGAGAGTGTTTGATAGCATTTTGCACCTTCAGGAATCACAGTGGCTTTGTACCTAGGCTCTCAAAATAGCTGCCCAAACCCACTGGAGGCACATTATGATAAAAAGTTTGAGGGGGTTGAACAAACTAGGAGAAATAAAACAAGATGTGTGTGCAATGGCACTTCATGGAAAACTGCCAGAAAGCAGGAAAAGCTGTAGTTTTAAACTTTGGGGGTTTGGAGATGGTCGGAACATAAGCAAGAAGCCAAACGTTTCAAGGTCAGAGAAGTGCAGGGACTGCAACTTATATACTGTTTCTGTGGGATTTAAGTCTGAGCTAGCTTCAAAGAACACAGGCCACAAACCACTGTGTGTTCTCTGCTTTCTCCCTAGAAAAGTGGTGACAGTGGCAGCAGCCAATGACTATCAAGATATTCTTTTCCGCAAAGGGGCAGTGTTAATTATATTTGGAACCCGTGACAACATCTAATGGGGGAGAGACTTCTAAGAGAGGAGAAACGGCATAACAGGTCATGAAAATATGGAAAGGAGATATCCATTCAGAAGTTCTTTCTGCTCCTCTTTCATCTTTCTCTTGATTTACCCATTGCACTTGACCTCTGCTGTTCTTTTTGAGGAGTCCTGAATGTTAAGTCCCTGTCACCTAGGGCTGAACTGCTTCTTCATCTGTCTTAAGATTTTCTGAGTTTCCTAGAATATGAGCTTTGCATGTTTAGTCACTGCTGTTAAATTTAAGGGCTTCTAATCAGTTCTAACAATCTGAAGCTAAGAGGAATTTTGAAAAGTTTTTATCTACACATTTTTCATAATTTTATAGATTGCCATTATTTCATTTTATCCTTAGTTTTTCAAATTGAAGTGTCTTAAATTCTGCAGTCTATATATGATGATTAGGCATATTTATTTTAGTTCTTTCTCAGACCAAATACTCACTATGATATTTTTAAACTGTTTTTGATGGTCCTTAAAATGTTGCTTTTCTTGTGTGTGTGTGTATAACTAGATATTTGACTAAAGCAGCAATAATAATTATATGAGTATTGAACACTCAATAGCAGAAAATGTGTTTAATGCTATTTTTAGAACTCATTAAATGTTTCCACTTTCCTTAGGATTAAGAATTAATTTACCCACATTTTTGGACAAGTAGACAAACGCTGAGGGAGGTCAAGTGAGATGATGATCCTGAAGTCTAGCTGCCTTCAAAGTCCATCCCTTCAGGCAGTAGACTGTAATAATGTTCTAACATATTTCCCCAAATAATTTTATTTCTCAATGTTTTCTTTTATTTTCATATTTTTAATGTGCTATGCCCTTTCATACATTTACCACAGCATATAACTGCTTAATTTGTTTGTTTTAAATATTATTTATCATGCAATTATGTTGTCATTTACTTTAAGTGCAAGATGGATTATCCTTTGAAAATAAAAATAAGAACGGTAAACCGAAGAAAGAACAAATGTATCTTTAGGAATTTTAAATACTCTGACTTTTTGTGAAATTTCCTTAACGTTTTTGTTCTTTATACGTGGTTTTGGTCGCAGATTCAGGATGAATTTAGAGGTGGAAAAATTAACCTAGAAAAAGCTCAGAAATTACTTGAAAAATTAGATATTCGGTGCAGTTTTGTTCACGTGAAACATATTTTTAAGGTAAGATGATATCTGCCCCCTGCCTCTCCTATCCTAGGAAGGACTTAATCTGATAAGTAATGCCAATAGTTTTTGGAATTTTTTTTTACAGAAAGTATGAAAAACTAGTCTCTTAAAATAAAACAGTTGTGCTTAATTATATTTACAATTGAGTTGGAGAAAATTTAAGTAAGAAATAAAATTAGTTGTAGATAAAATTTAAAATAGTACCAGGCTATTAGTTTAGAGCAATTTCCTGAATATATAGGAATTATCACATCAAATCTAAAATTGATTGTGTAATTAGATCAAAATAATATAAATGATGGGATGGCAAATGATTTGGACATGAGTGATTTGTAGAAGGAATCTTAAAGAAAAAACTGAGCCCAAAGTTAGCAGAGGGGAGGAATAATAAAGATTAGCATAGGAATAAAATAGAAAAGAAAGAAGAATAAAAGAAATAGATATAAATAAGCCTTGAGTTTTGAGAGGATAAGCAAAATTGACAAATTATCCCTCTTTAAATTCTTGGAGTAAGAAAAAAAAGACTTAAATAAATAGAATAAGAAGTAAAAGAGAAGACATTACCACTGTTATGACAGAACAGAAAAAGTTCATAGGAACTATTATGAATAATCATACACTAACAGGTGGACAATATGGAAAAAACATGGAGATATTCCTAGAAACATATAACCTTCCAAGACTAAGTCAAGAAGAACTAGAAAGCTTACACAGACCAATAACAAATGAGAAGACTGAATCAGCAATCAAATACCTTCCAAAAAAGAAAAACTCAGGACCAGATGGTTTCACAGATGAAGTCTACCAAAGATTTAAGGAAGCATTAATACAACCCTCTTTAAATATTTCCAAAAAATAAAAGAAGGAACACTTCCAATCTTATTTTTTAAGGTCAGCATCATCCTGATGCCAAAGCTGGACAAAGACACCACAAAAATGAAAAGTCCAGGCCAATATTACTGATGAACATGGACAAAATATTCCTCAACAAACTACTAGGAAATCAAATTTAACAGCATTTTAAAAGGATCATGAACCATGACTACATGGGAATCTATCCCTGGCATGCAAGGATGAGCAGAAATCAGTCAATATCATATACAACATTAACAGAACGATGATTAAAAAAACTCACATCCTGGTCTTAAAAATACAGAATTTGGCAAAATGCTATACCCTTTCATGATAATGACTCTCAAAAAATTAGGTCTGGAAAGAACTTACTTCAACACAATCAAAGTCATATGGGAAAAGCCCACAATCAACATCATACTCAATGGTAAAAAAAATGTAAGTTTTTCCTCTAAGATCTGGATCAAGGAAAGGATACTCATTTTCATAACTTCTATTCAACATAGAACTGAACGTTCTATCCAGAGGAATTAATTAAGAAATTAAACGCTTTCAGATTATACATGCAGAAGTAAAATTATCTCTTTTCATAGGTGGCATGGCATGATCTTCTATGCAGAAAATCCTAAAGACTTTGCCAAAAACCTATTAGAACTAATACATTTAGTAAAGTTGCAAGATATAAAATCAATGTGCAAAACAATTAAAAAAAA